TTACCTAGCTATAATAGCTTTTAAGAAAACTACATACGAAATTGATGTACCATAAGTGAGAAATATGTATTTCTTTTTTTACTGTTAATTTAACACGGTTTCCAATCCGAGTCAAAATCTCACTTACCACTTAATTTTTTGGAAAAAATGTAAGAGGAAAAAATATTCTACATCGAATTTTAATGTGAGTCTCTGAACAAAGGAAATTTGTATACCTAATATACGCCACCGAAAATCAGCATCGAATTCCAAAAAAAAAAAAAAAACGAAATTATTCCCTGATTTTTTGATCATTTTTTCTTGGCCCTAGTTCGAGTTGACGCCTGAAAGTAACATAAACATTCGTTTAAGGGACAAAGTGTTAAAAGGCAAAATATTCTATACAAAATTTCATTACAAATCTCAGAATAAACTATAGATCGGGGAACAATAGTTTTTAAGAAAATTTATGTACCACAAGTGAAAATTATGTGTTTGCTTTTTTCCACTCTTAATTTAACACGGTTTCCAATCCGAGTCAAAATCTCCCTTACCACTTAATTTTTTGGAGAAAGTGTTAAAGGAAAAAATATTCTAGATCGAATTTCAATGTGAGTCTCTGAACAAAAGAAATTTGTTGACAAATATCAAAAAAAAAAAAAAAAAAAACACTAAAATATTTTTTAATTTTTTGATCAATTTTTTCTTGTGTTTGTCCGAGTTGATGCCTGAAAGTAACATAAAATTTCATTCAAGGCATAAAGTGTTAAAGGATAAAATATTCTACATGAAATTTCATGGTAAACCTCAGAATAAACCATTTAGCTAGCTATAATAGCTTTCAAGAAAATTACATTCGAAATCTATGTACCATAAGTGAAAATTATATTTTTGCTTTTTTTCCAGTTAATTTAACACGGTTTCCAATCCGAGTCAAAATCTCCCCAAATACTTCATTTTTAGGGGAAAATGTGAAAGGAGAAAAAATTCTAGATCGAATTTCAATGTGCCATAATTTTTACAGTTTTTTTTTAATTTTTTTCGAATGAAAGCAAAAAATGTGGGAAATTTCATCAAATTTTAGAATATGTTTAGATTTGTTCGAATTGGTCACCTTTGGCACAAATTATGGCCTTCAAACGGCCAATGAAACCGTCACACGCTGTGCCCGAATGTTGCTCTGTGGTATGTTGGCCCATTACCAGCGAAGCGTTTGCTTGAGGTGATCGACACTTTGGTATTTTTTATTTGTGCCAACCTTGCTTTTCAAAATATTCCAGACACAATAGTCCAACGGATTGGTATCCGGAGATTTTTTGTTGGCCATTGTGCGCTGGAAATGAAGCGAGGGGCCTCATTTTGAAACCATTCTCGGTTGGGGGGTGCTGAGTGCGATGGTGCTGTGTCCTCTTGTTGTTACAGAGTGCATATTACGGCCGCGCTGGACTAAAATAACAAACCGGATGAACAATATATATGGGAGCTATGGCTATATCTGAACCGATTTCGATCAAATTTGGCATACTTATTTTAAGGCCTAATTTGGTTGTATGTGCAAAATTCCATACCATTCGGGCTGATATTACACGTTTGGTGCACAATAAAAAGCAACTCGGACGAAGATATATATGGGAGCTATATCTAAATTTTTACCGATCATCTCCAATTTCAATAGGGTTCGTCCTTGGGCCAAACAAATGATTTGTGTAAAATTTCATCTGGATAGGGCAATAAATGCCAACTGTACTTTGTTTACAAAAATACATGGACAGAGAGAATTTTGTCGCACAGTGTTCTCATAAGCATTTCCATTGAGCATCCATATCTGGCGCGTCGGAGACGACTTTATTCAGCATAATATTTTTTTTATTTTTTTTTTTTTTTTTGAAAAACCCCAAAATTTTTTATTACTTTATTTTCTAATTTAATTTTTTTATTTTTATTTATTTTTTTTTTTTTTTTGAAAAACCCCAATTTTTTTTAAAATTAAAGCAGTAGTTTATCTGTGTTTTTATTTATTTTTTTATTATTTATTTTTTCTTTTTTTTTTTTTTTGAAAACCCCATTTTTTTTAAATTAAGTAGTAGTATCTGTGTTTTTTCGATTACGATTATTTTTAATTTTTTTATATATTTTTCCTTATTTTATTTATTTATATTTTTCTTATTTATTTATTTTTTGTATTATTTTATTTACTTATTTAATTTTTATTTTTTTATTTTTACTTATTTATTATTATTATTATTATTATTTTTTTTTTTTTTTTGAAAAACCCCATTTTTTAAATTAAAGCAGTGGGTTGTCTGTATTTCATCGATTTTTTTTTAATTTTTTTATTTGTATTTATTTTTTTATTTTTATTTATTTATTATTTTTTTTATTTATTTACTTTTTTTATTATTTTATTTTCTAATTTAATTTTTTATTTTTTTTATTTTTATGTATTTATTTATTTACTATTTAAAAAAAAACTCAATTTTTTTAAATTTAAAGAATTTTTTCGTTTTTTTTAATGTTTTTTATTATTTTTTTATTATTATTATTATTTTTTTTTCTTATTTATTTTTTCATTATTTTATTTTCTAATTTATATTTTCTTATTTACTATTTTTTTTTTGAAAGAAAAACCCAATTTTTTTAAATTAAAGCCGTAGTTTATCAGTGTTTTTTTTCGATTTTGACTTTTTTTAATTTTTTTATTGTTATTTATTTTTTATTATTTTTTTTTCTTATTTATTTTTATTTATTAAGTTATTATTTTTTTTTTTTGAAAAACCCCAATTTTTTTTTAAATTAGAGCAGTAGTTTATCTGTGCTTCTTCGATTTTTTTAATTTTTTCTTTTCTTTATTTGTATTTATTTTTTTTTTCTCATTTATTTATTTTCTAATTTTATTTTTATTTATTTATTTATTTTTTTTTTTTTTTGAAAAAACCCAATTTTTTTAAATTAAAGCCGTAGTTTATCAGGGTTTTTTCGATTTCGATTTTTTATTAATTTTTTTATATTTTTTTTCCTTTTTTTACTTTTATTTATATTTTTTTTCTTATTTATTTATTTATTTATTTTTCTTTTTTTTATTTTCTAATTAAATTTTTATTAATTTTTATATTTATTTATTTATTATTATTATTATTTTTTGAAAAACCCCATTTTTTTGAAGTAAAAGCAGTAGTTTATCTGTGTTTTTTCGATTTTTTTAAATTTTTTTATTATTATTTTTTTTCTTTTTATTTATTTATTATATTATTTTCTAACTGATTTTTTTTATATATTTTTATTTCAATTTATTTATTATTTATTTATTTTTTTTTTTTTTTTGGAAACCCTGTAGTTTATATGTGTTTTTTTTTAAATTTTTTTAATTTTTCTTATTATTTTTTTTTATTTTTATTTATTTTTTATTATTTTATTTTCAAATTTAATTTTTATTTATTTTTATTTTTATTTATTTATTATTATTATTATTTTTTTTTTTTTTTTTGAAAAACCCCAATTTTTTTAAATTAAAGCAATAGTTTATCTTCGTTTCTTTCGATTTTTTTAAATATTTTTTATTATTTTTTTTTATTTATTTATTTTTTATGTATTTATTTTTTTATTGTTTTATTTTCTAAATTAATTTTTTATTTTTATTTATTTACTATTATTTTTTTTTGAAAAACCCAATTTTCTTTTTAAATTAAAGCAGTAGTTTATCTTTTTTTTCGATTTTTTTTTTAATTTTTTTATTATTTTTTTTTTCTAATTTAATTTTTATTTTATTTCTATTTTTTATTTATTATTTTTATTATTTTATTTTCCAATTTAATGTTTATTTTATTTCTATTTTTTTTATTTATTATTATTATTTTTTTTTTTTGTTTTTGAAAAATCCCAATTTTTTTTTTAAATTAAAGCAGTAGTTTATCTGTGTATTTTTCGATTTCGATTTTTTTTTAATTTTTTTATTATTTTTTTTTTTCATTTTTATTTATTTATTTTTCTCTTTTTTATATTCTAATTAAATTTTTATTAATTTTTATTTTTATTTATTTATTATTATTATTATTTTTTTTTTTTTTTTTTGAAAAACCCCATTTTTTGAAGTAAAAGCAGTAGTTTATCTGAGTTTTTTCGATTTTTTTTAAATTTTTTATTATTTTTTTCTTTTTATTTATTTATTTATTTATTTATTTTTTTTTTTTTTATTATTTTATTTTCTAACTGATTTTTTTATATATTTTTATTTTAATTTATTTATTTATTTATTTATTTTTTTTTTTTTTGAAAAACCCCATTTTTCTTTCGATTTTTTAATATTTTTTATTATTATTTTTTCTTTTTTTATTTTTATTATTTTTTTTTTCTTATTTATTTATTTTTTTATGTATTTATTTTTTTATTATTTTATTTTCTAATTTAATTTTTTTATTTTTATTTATTTACTATTATTTTTTTTTTTTTTTGAAAAACCAAATTTTGTTTTAAATTAAAGCAGTAGTTTATCTTTTCTTTCGATTTTTTAAATTTTTTTTATTTTTTTTTTTCTTATTTAATTTTTATTTTTATTTATTTATTTTTTTTTCTTATTTTATTTTCTAATTTAATGTTTATTTTATTTCTATTTTTTTTATTTATTATTTATTTATTTGTTTTTGGAAAAACCCCATTTTTTTTAAATTAAAGCAGTAGTTTATCTGTGTTTTTCGATTTCGTTTTTTTTTTTAATTTTTTTATTATTTTTTTTTTGGTTTTTTTATTTTTATTTATTTTTTAATATTTTATTTTCTAATTCAATTTTTATTTTTTTTATTTCTATTTATTTATTTATTATTTTTTTTGAAAACCCCAATTTTTTTTAAATTAAATTTCTGTGTTTTTCGATTTTTTTTAAATTTTTTTATTATCTTTTTTCTTATTTTATTTTTTTTTTTTTTTATTTATTTTTTTAATTTTTTTTATTTTTTTTTTTTTTCTTTTGAAAACCCCCAATTTTTGTTGTTGTTGCTAATTGAATAAAAACGCAAACGCATCACGGGTTAGTCCTTGAAATCAATATTGTTTATTGTTAATGGTGCTTGGTGTTGTTGGTAATAATTAAATTAAATATATATATGTATATATATCTGATTTCATCTATCGCCTTCAGTTACCTACAGGGGAGGGGGCAGGTGCTGAACATATGGCAAATTTCGGGTCCACATCGACACAGGCACCTTGGGCTTCGCTGAAGTAGGGATAGTTGGGATTGTTGTTTGCGCAGTTGCCACCCATGCCTACCTGTTTCGTCTGATTGATGCAGTAGTAGTAGTCGGCACAACCCAAGACCGAGACATAGGTTTGGTTTATGTTGCCGCAGCGATCGTATTTACAGTCCACAGTATAGGGGGTGACACAATTTTGGTCCGCCTGATTGAAATGGGTACCGAGGGGACACTTGCCCCAAATACCGGTTTCTCCTGCCTTTTCGCAATAATAGTAGCCCATGCATGACTTGCCGTCCTCAACATAGAATTTGCTCGTTGTATCAGTTTTGTCGTTAGGATTTTCGGCACAGGCAGTTTTACTGTCTGGCAATGGCTTTTCAACACCTGGACCGACTGATGCGGTGGACGGCGGTTCAGTCTCAGTTGGACAAATACTCTCGATGGCACACATATTTTTGAATTGATTGAAGAAGAGGTTATCGGGACATTCCTTACTGGTACCACTGCCGTCAAGGCAGGCCAGATAATTTCCGCACTTTAAAGGATCAGCCACCCACTTGCCGTCGGGCACCAGACGACAAATGGAATTGGCCGGACAGTTGTACTGGTTCGAATAGACACAAGCTCTTTTTGTGGGATCGAACACCTGATATTGGGGACAAGTGGTACAGGAGTAAGTGCCATTGTTGCAGTAACAGGCCTTGGTGCAGTCGTCGGGATCGGCCAAGTAGATGGGCGAGGTTACCACACTGCAGGTACTCTCGAGTTTGCTGGCGCACTTGACGTTTTCGGGAAAGTCACATTGGGCGGTCTTCTGGTTGTACAGATAGGTGCCGGGACAGGTGCCTTGGGCAATCAACTCGCCGCCTTTGCAATATCCCCAGCCGTTGCACTGATCTGGATCGGCGATATAACCTTCGCCGTAATACAGACAAGTTTCGGCCATCGAATAGCCAGCTGAGGCACATTGCATTTGCAGGGCAACAAGGCCGAGTAGAGCCAGGCACAGGCCTGAGGTCATTTTGAAATCTGCAGAGAGAGAAAGAGAGGGGAGGGAAAAAAATGTTTAAAAAAAACATTACACAAAAGTCTATACGAATAGAGCACACCACTTATCCGAATTATTCGGATATAGAAAATGATTTATTCGAATATCGTAAGTCACCAGTGGCCGAAATAAAGGCATTGTATGCCCAAAAAAAAAAAATGAATTACATGTCTATTTTGGAAAATGTATCCACTATATTAGGGGGATATCGTAAGTCGCTGTTTTACACACACATATCGTAAATGACATTGTCACATTAGGCAAAGGAAATAAATAATTAAAAACCATTATTCGCCTTCTTTGGTTATCGTAAATAAATTTAACAGCTTATGCGGATATCGTAAGTGACTTTTTGACATTACAAACAGATATCGTAAATGACATTGTCACATTAGGCAAAGGAAATAAATAATTAAAAAACATTATTCGCCTTCTTTGGTTATCGTAAACAAATTATACAGTTTATCCAGATATCGTAAGTGACTTTTTGACATTACAAACAGATATCGTAAATGACATTGTCACATTAGGCGAGGGAAATAAATAATTAAAAACCATTATTCGCCTTCTTTGGTTATCGTAAACAAATTATACAGTTTATCCAGATATCGTAAGTGACTTTTTGATATTACAAACAGATATCGTAAATGACATTGTCACATTAGACGCAGGAAATAAGTGATTAAAGTCAATTATTCACCTCCTTTGGATATCGTAAACAAATTATACAGTTTATCCGGATATCGTAAGTGACTTTTTGACATTACAAACAGATATCGTAAATGACATTGTCACATTAGGCAAAGGAAATAAATAATTAAAAACCATTATTCGCCTTCTTTGGTTATCGTAAACAAATTTAACAGTCTATACGGATATCGTAAGTGGGGTTTTTCACATTACAAGCAGATATCGTAAATGACATCGTTACGTTAAGCAAAAAAAAAATAAATGATTAAAATCAATTATTCTCCTTCTTTGGGTATCGTAAATAAATTCAAAAGTCTATTCGGATATCGTAAGTTGTTTTTTTTTTAACGCTACACACAGGTTTTTTTTCGAATATCGTAAATGAGCTGTTCACGTCATACTCGAATCTTCTCGCGATCTATCCATGTTATTTCGATATCGTAAATGACGTATCCACACCATTTGAATATCGTAAAAGAGAACATGTATCGTAAATGATTTACCCAAGTTATCCGCTTGCTCCGTACATCGTAAATGATAAGTCATCATAGGATACGTCAATGACTCATCGATGTTGTGGAGATATCGTAATTAACTTAGCCATGGTATCCGCATATCGTTAATTATACATTGAATATCGTAAATGAATTATTTACGCGATAAGTATATCGTAAATGTCTTATCCACATTATTTGGATATCCTAAATAGCTTATCCACGTTATCCGCGGATAATACGGATATCCGGACATCGTTGATGATACTTCTTCAGGTCAAGCGCATATTGCAAATAACCTAAACATTTTATTCGGATATCGTAAACGACTTAGACATGACAATAACGGCTTTTTCTTAAGGACAGAAATACTTTATCCGTGTTATCCGAAGGATATGAGTTTCTTGGGTTATCCGAAGGTATGCAATGGCTTATCCGCATTATCCGAATTACGGATATTGAATATCTGTCATTTCGGAATAACAGAAAATGATAATTTGCCACATTCGAAATACGAAAATAGATTATCCGCATTATCCGAACGATGGTATGTCATTATCCGAATGACGGAAATTTTTGAAAAAAAAACAAAAAACGATTATCCGAAGGACGAATACAAATTATCTGCATTATCCCAATGACGGAAATTGATTATCCCCACTATTCGAAATACGAAAATGGATAACCCACATTATCCGAATGACGGATATTAATTATCCGAATAACAGAAATCTATTTTCCCCATAATTCGAAATACGAAAATAGATTATCCGAAGTTGAGAAATGGATTATCCGCGTTATCCAAATGTTGGATATTGCATATCCGCCTTTTCAGAATAACAGAAATCGATTATTCGCATCATCCGAAATGCGAAAATTCATTATCCGCGTTATCCGAAGGACGGAAATGAATTATCCGAATGACGGAGTATGGCTATTTCAGACATATTAATCATGGAAATTGTTTATCCGAATGACGGAAATTTATTGACCACGTTATCCGAAGGTCGAAAATAGAATTTCCGTATTATCCGGATGATGGAAATTGATTATCCGTCTTATCCGGATAACGGAAATTGATTATACACCTTATCCGAAGTGTAAAACTTTGTTATCCGAATAATGAAAATTGATTATCCGCATTATCCGGAGGACGAAAATCAAATTTCTTCATTATCCGAATGACGGAAATTGATTATCCTCCTTATCTGGATAACGGAAAATGATTATCCACCTTATCCGAAGTTAAAATTTTGTTATCCGCATTATCCGAATGACGAAAATTGATTATCCACGTTATCCGAAGGACGAAAATCAAATTTCTTAATTATCCGAATAACGGAAATTGATTATCCTCCTTATCCGGATAACGGAAATCGTTTATTCGAATTATCCGAAGTGCAAAACTTTGTTATCCGCATTATCCGAATAATGAAAATTGATTATCCACGTTATCCGAAGGACGAAAATCAAATTTCTTCCTTATCCGAATGTCGGAAATTGATTATACACCTTATCGGAAGTGTTAAACTTAAGTATCGGCATTATCCGAATGACGAAAATTGATTATCCGCGTTATCCGAAGGAAGAAAATAAAATTTCCGTATTATCCGGATGATGGAAATTGATTAGCCGCCATTTCCGGATAACGGAAATTCTTTATTCGAATTATCCGAAGTGCAAAACTTTGTTATCCGCATTATCCGAATAATGAAAATTGATTATCCACGTTATCCGAAGGACGAAAATCAAATTTCCGTATTATCCGAATGACGGAAATTGATTATACACCTTATCGGAAGTGTTAAACTTAAGTATCGGCACTATCCGAATGACGAAAATTGTTTATCCGCATTATCCGAAGGACGAAAATCTAATTTCTTCCTTATCCGAATGACGGAAATTGATTATCCGGATGACTTAAATTGATTATACACCTTATCCGAAGTGTAAAACTTTGTTATCCGTATTATCCGGATGACGAAAATTGATTATCCTCATTATCCGAAGGACGAAAATCAAATTTCTTCATTATCCGGATGACGGAAATTGATTATCCTCCTTATCTGGATAACGGAAATGATTATCCACCTTATCCGAAGTTAAAATTTTGTTATCCGCATTATCCGAATGACGAAAATTGATTATCCACGGTATCCGAAGGACGATAATCAAATTTCTTCCTTATCCGAATGACGGAAATTGATTATACGCCTTATCCGAACTGCAAAACTTTATTATCCGCATCATCCGAATGACGAAAATTGATTATCCGCATTATCCGAAGGTCGCAAATAAAATTTCCGTATTATCCGGATTATGGAAATTGATTATCCTCCTTATCCGGATAACGGAAATTGATTATACACCTTATCGGAAGTGTTAAACTTAAGTATCGGCATTATCCGAATAACGTAAATTTATTATCCGCATTATCCGAAGGACGAAAATAAAATTTCCGTATTATCCGAATGACGGATATTGATCATCCGCCTTATTCGGATAACGGAAATTGTTTATTCGAATTATCCGAAGTGCAAAACTTTAGTATCCGCATTATCCAAAGGACGAAAATTAATTATCCCCGGTATCCGAAGGACGAAAATAAAATTTCCGTATTATCCGGATGATGGAATTGTCTACCTCATCCGGATGACGAAAAATATATTATTCGCCTTATCCGAAGGATAGAAATTGTTTGTCCACACTATCCGAAGGACGAAAATGAATTATTCGCCTTCTTCTATCCCAAGGACTTGGCTGTATTTTCCGAACAATTTAAATTCACTTGTTTCAAATCATTTTTTCTTTTTCACTTTTTTGTTTTGCAGAGACATTTTTCGAGCCCTCAACGAAAAATATTAATTTCTTGTACACACCTTGCATGATGTCCTTTACGATCCTTACTCACAAAGTAGTTGAGAGAGAGAAAAACAAAAACACTTTGAAATGTAAAACTAACACTTGGCCAAACTAAACTCCACAAATGGATTGCCAACGGGTTTTTGATGCCTGCTGACATTGGCGACATGGCTTAAATACAAAATTGTTGGCCAAAATCAAGGCGCCTACAAATCGAGTGGAGATAATAGAAGTATGGGGTGAAAAAATAGAAATAGAAATCTTCTTCATGCCAAATGAGGGCTTAACATGAGACGCTAATTAAAAAAGAAAAAAAAATAGCAGAACAGAACAAAAAAGATAAGGAAAATTTGGAGGCTACTACGGCTTTGCAGCCACATCCACGCGAGGCAATTGGAATCCCAGATAAAACTTCAATAACACCATTTTTAACAAGTTTTGGAATTTTGTGTTGTTGTTCGGATGTTTTTTTTTTTTTGTGGAATGTGACAACAAGCCATGATATTTTACTTCCGCTTCGATTTTTTTCCAACCTCTTTTTTTCAATATTTCATAACACTTTTCTTCACACACACACAGACACACCTTTCATTTTTGAGTTTTCTGCTGCTTAAAGGGATTTTTCGTGAATATTCCGTATCCCGTTTTTTTCGCGTTTATGTTAATGACGAACTGATGGACTAGCCATAAACAACTGATGCCACCCGTATTTATTTACTTGGCTTTAATAGGAGGCCAGAATTCCGATGGCCAATATGGTGATCGGGTGGTTGGCCATTCAGTCGATCGGTCGGTCGGTCGAACATTCGGTCGATTGTATTGCCACTATCGTCACACCTCCTCCTCCCACTACTTAGTTAGGCTAGCTAGCTAGTCCAGTATTTGAGATTAAAATATTTGAAAATGGTTGGTGGTTTTTTATTTTTTTTTATTTGGAAATATTTTCACAATGAAATATGTGCTCATAATTATCTATAGCCCCTGTGATTAGGCGATACGTCAAAAATTCATCAAGTGGCCCCTTAATCGCTGCCGAATTTCATTAGATATAAGACTGACACAACAACAACAACACCACCAAGTCCATCGTATACGAAATCAGTTGCAATGATTTTAAAAATATGATTATCGAATCGACCGTCGCCTTTGTCATGTCAGAGACATGTCAAAGCCATGTCAGAAAAAAATATCACAACAAAACAAAATCGGGTAATATACAATAACAGTTTGGCGGGACAACGCAATTTGAAACATGAAGTTTCTGGAAGAGGTGAAACAAAAGAAAAACAAAAAATAATGAGAGCTATAATTATTCAAAATTTTGAACCCCTTGGTGGGGGAGGTACCTGAAGGAGTGGTCCGACATATTCCATCTTCACATCGGATCTTGTGTTGGTAGAAATGTTGGAATGTGTGAAATTTGAAGAGATTCGCAAGCCCATGTCGTATTCTATGACAGATATGAATATTCAAAATTTTGACCCATTTGTGGGGGAGGTACCCGAAGGAGTGGTCGGACATACTCCATCATCACATCAGAGCTTGCGTTAGTAGAAACATTGGGATATGTGAAGTTTGAGAGGAATCGGATGCTCATTTCCTATTTTATGACAGATATAATTATTCAAATTTTTGACCACTTTGTGGGGGAGGTACCAGAAAGGGTGGTCCCACATACTCCATCTTCACATCAGATCTTGTGTTAATAGAAATATTGGGAGATGTGAAATTTGAGAGGAATCGGACGCTCATTTCACATTTTATGAGAGTTATAATTATTCCAAATTTTTAACCCTTTATGGGGGAGGTACCAGAAGGAGTGGTCCGACATACTCCATCTTCACATCAGGTCTTGTGTTTGTAGAAATATTGGGATATGTGAAATTTGAGAGGAATCGGATGCTCATTTCACATTTTATGTGAGTTTTAAATATTCAAAATATTTAACCCTTTGAGGGGGAGGTACCAAAATAAGTGGACCTATATTTTCCATCTTCACACCAGATCTTGTGTTAGTAGAAGTGTTAGGATGTGTGAAATTTGGGAGGAATCGGATGCTTATTTCCTATTTTATGACAGATATAATTATTCAAAATTTAACCCCTTTGTGGGGGAGGTACCTGAAGGAGTGATCCGACATATTTCATCTTCACACCAGATCTTGCGTTAGCAGAAATATTGAGACATATGAAATTTGAGAGGAATCGGATGCTTTTTTCACATTTTATAAAAGTTATAATTATTCAAAATTTTGACCCCTTTGCAGGGGAGGTACCAGAAGGGGTGGTCCGGCATACTCCATCTTCACATCAGATCTTGTGTTAATAGAAATATTTAGATATGTGAAATTTGAGAGGAATCGGATGCTCATTTCACATTTTATGAGAGATATAATTATTCCAAATTTTGACCCTTATGTAGGGAAGGTACCAAAAGGAGTGGTCCGGCATACTCCATCTTCACATCAGATCTTGTGTTAATAGAAATATTGGGATATGTGAAATTTGAGAGGAATCGGTTGCTCATTTCACATTTTATGAGAGTTATAATTATTCCAAATTTTGACCCCTATGTGTGGGAGGTACCAGAACGGGTAGTCCGACATACTCCATCTTCACACCAGATCTTGTAATAGTAGAAATACTGGCATATATGAAATTTGAGAAAAATCGGATGCTCATTTTACATTTTATGAGAGATATAATTATTCAAAATTTTTAACCCTTTGTGGGGGAGGTACCAGAAGGAGTGGTCCGACACATTCCATCTTCTCACCTGATCTTGTGTGGCCAAAAATGTTGGGATGTGTGAAATTTCAAGAGATTCGAGCGCTGATGTCTCATTTTATGAGAGTTATAATTATTAAAAATTTTAACCCCTTGTGTGGGGTAGGTACCAGAAGAAGTGGACCGATATTGTCCATTTCCGAACTCGATCTAAGTTTGACAATGTTACTACGATATGCCATGTTTGGATCGAATCGGATACTCCGTTCGCGAGTTATCATGCACACCAGCCGGAGAGATAGACGAACGGACGGGCACCTCTATATCGTCGACAAATGTCCGGTTTTGGTCCAAAGAGACCTAGGATCTAAAATCATTATTTCGATGAGGCACGATTTTGGCCAAAACAAATGATTTACACCCTCTGTAGCTATGTGGCTGAGGTTATGATTACTTCTTTTTTAATGGGCCTCCAAGACTTTTCCACATTTTAAGGGAGGCTTAAGCTTCTGATTCGAAGGCCATAATTCGTGCCAAAGGTGACCAATTCGAACAAATCTAAAGTTATTCTAAAATTTGATGCTATTTCTGACATTTTTTGCTTTCATTCAATAAAATTTAAAAAAATGTAAAAATTATGGCGTTTGAGTTTGTTGCAGTTTTTTATCTCAGCCTTTTTATGTTCGTCCGATTCTAGGTTTTTTTGTGGCCCAAATGTCGGATATCAGTCCAAATGGTTTGGATTTTGGTACATCCCACCACATTCAGCCTAGAAGCATGTATGTCAAATTTGATGAAAATCGGTTAAGATATAGCTATAGTTCCCATGCATCAGTTCGTCCGATTTCAAGTTTTTTGTGCACCACGTGGTTAATATCAGGCCAAATTGGGTGGATTTTGGTACATCCTACTTAATTGAGCTGGGAAGTAAGTATGCCAAATTTTTTGAAAACCGGTTAAGATATAGCTACAGCTCCCACATATAAGTTTGTCCGATTTCAGGTTTTTTGTGCACAAAACGGCGAATATCTGCCCAATTGGAGTAGATTTTGGCACACGCAACCGAATTCAGCCTAGAAGCAAGTATGTCAAATTTGTTGAAAATCGGTTAAGACGTAGCTAAAGCTCCCATATGTAAGTTCGTCCGATTTCAGGTTTTTTGTGCACCAAAGGGCGAATATCAGCCCAAATGGGGTGGATTTCGGTACATTTCACCAAATTGAGCTTGGAAGTTAGTATGTCAAATTTCATGAAAATCGGTTGAAATATAGCTATAGCTCCCACATATAAGTTCTTCCGATTTAAGGTTTTTTGTGCACCAAATGGCGAATATTAATCCAAATGAAGTAGATTTTGGTACACGCAACTGAATTCAACCTAGAAGCAAGTATGTCAAATTTGGTGAAAATCGGTTAAGATATAGCTATAGCTCCCACATATAAATTTGTCCGATTTCAGGTTTTTTGTGCACCACGTGGTTAATATCAGGCCAAATTGGGTGGATTTTGGTACATCCTACCAAATTTAGCCTAGAAGCAAGTATGTCAAATTTGATGAAAATCGGTTAAGACATAGCTATAGCTCCCATATGTAAGTTCGTCCGATTTCAGGGATTTTGTGCACCAAATGGCGAATATCAGCTCCAATGGGGTGGATTTTGGTACATTCCACCAAATTCAGTCTAGAAGTAAGTACATCGATTTTGATGCAAATCGGTTAAGATATAGCTATAGCTCCCACATATAAGTTCGTCCGATTTCAGGTTTTTTGTGCATCAAATGGCGAATATCAGCCCAAATAGGGTGGATTTTGGTATATCTCACCAAATTCAGCCTAGAAGCAAGTATGCCAAATTTCATGAAAATCGGTGAAGATATAGCTATAGCTTCCATATATAGGTTCGTCCGATTTCAGGTTTTTTGTGCACCAAATGGCGAATATCTGCCCAATTGGAGTAGATTTTGGCACATTCCACCAAATTCAGCCTAGAAGCAAGTATGTCAAATTTGATGAAAATCGGTTAAGATATAGCAATAGCTCCCATACATAAGTTCGTCCGATTTTAGGTTTTTTGTGCACCAAACGGCGAATATCTGCCCAATTGGAGTAGATTTTGGCACATTCCACCAAATTCAGCCTAGAAGCAAGTATGTCAAATTTGATGAAAATCGGTTAAGATATAGCAATAGCTCCCATACATAAGTTTGTCCGATTTCAGTTTTTTTTGTGCACCAAATGGCGAATATCTGCCCAAATGGCGTGGATTTTGGTACATCATACCAAATTCAGCCTAGAAGTAAGTATGTCAAATTTGTTGAAAAGCGGTCAAGATATAGCTATAGCTCCCATATATAAGTTCGTCCGATTTCAGGTTTTTTGTGCACAAAACGGCGAATATCTGGAGTAGATTTTGGCACACGCAACCGAATTCAGCCTAGAAGCAAGTATGTCAAATTTGATGAAAATCGGTTAAGATATAGCAATAGCTCCCACATATAAGTTTGTCCGATTTCAGTTTTTTTTGTGCACCAAATGGCGAATATCAGCCTAAATGGGGTGGATTTTGGTACAACCCACCAAATTCAGCCTAGAAGCAAGTAGGTCAAATTTGTTGAAAATCTGTTAAGATATGGCTATAGCTCCCATATATAAGTTCGTTCGATTTCAGGTTTTTAGTGAACCAAATGGCGAATATCAGCCCAAATGGGGTGGATTTTGGCACATGCAACCAAATTAAGCTTGGAAGTAAGTATGCCAAATTTTTTGAAAACCGGTTAAGATATAGCTACAGCTCCCACATATAAGTTTGTCCGATTTCAGGTTTTTTGTGCACAAAACGGCGAATATCTGGAGTAGATTTTGGCACACGCAACCGAATTCAGCCTAGAAGCAAGTATGTCAAATTTGATGAAAATCGGTTAAGATATAGCAATAGCTCCCATATATAATTTTCATCCGATTTGATGTTTAAGGCTTTCACATTCGCAATATGCACTCCACTGCAATGATATTTG